AATTGTGGACTTTACTAAATAGCTCACATGAAATTCTTCCAGAAAGCGTTTTAAAACTACCGTCTTTTTTTCATGATAAAAGAAACATGTTCCAGCCCTAGTAGGTTTGGCTCAGTGGATAGAGCGTCGACCTGCGGACTGAAGGGTCCCAGGTTTGATTCTGATCAAGGGCACAGGCGCGGATTGTGGGCTTAATCCCCAGTAGGGGGTGTGCAGGAAGTAGGCAACCATGATTCTCTCTCATCATTGATATTTCTATTTATCTCTCTCCCTCTCCCTTTCTCTCTGAAATCAATAAAAATCTACTTAAAAACACACACACACACACACACACACAAAAAAAAACATGTTCTATGTAGAAATTCTGGAAACTAAAAATAAATTGAAATTTTAAAATGGAAATATTCTACAAGTATATAACCCACATAAACCCTTGTTAATAAGCCAGTATATCACTTCCCAGTGATATATTTTTGCTACACATATACACATTTAAAAGTATACAAATGAGATCAGAAGGTACCTAATATTTTGTAACCCTTTCCCACGGGTGATTAAATAGCTTTAAACAACCTGATTTTTAACTCCTAATAACCCACGGTAGCTATGATTTCATTCAACCAATCCTTTATTGTTGCACAATTACATGACTTTCATTTTTACAATCATAAACCAGATTTGATGAGCATATGTGTAGCTATGGCCTCATTCAAATTATTACCATTATTGGAGTCCCACGGGCTGCACCCACCACCAGCCCCACCCATCCAAGTCGAGAAGGCCAAGGTCATGGCCTAAACAGAGGAGCAGAGCCTAGCAACTCCTTCCATTAGGGGGGAAACAAGAAGGAGCTGTCTGCAGCGAGTGCCTGGGTGGAGGTGGGGGGTCCTGGGGCTGCCACCATGAGGAAGGATGAATGAAAAGAATTTGTGGTTCAGTGGTTGAATGTTGACCTATGAACCAGGAGATCACAGTTCAATTTCTGATGAGGGCATATGTCTGGGTTGTGGGCATGCAGGAGGCAACTTATCAATGATTCTCTCTCATCATTGATGTTTCTATCTCTCTCTCCCTCTCCTTTCATCTCTGAAATCAATAAAAATATATTTTAAGCCCTTGTCATTTTGGCTTGGTGGATTAGAGCATCAGCCTGCAGATTGAAGGGCCCCGGGTTCGATTCTGGTCAAGGGCATGTACCTTGGTTGCAGGCACATCCCCAGTAGGGAGTGTGCAGGAGACAGCTGACCAATATTTCTCGCTCATCGATGTTTCTATGTCTCTGTCCCTCTCCCTTCCTCTCTGTGAAAAAGCAATAAAATATATTTTAAAATAAAATAAATAGATTAAAAAAAAAGAGGTTGACTACAGCAGCTTCACAATTCAAGCAATGCAAATAAGTGAAAAGGAAGAAGATGGCAGTGAAAAAAGAGAAGATCCAGGTGATAATTGGAAGAAGGAGGTGGTGGTGGTGGTGGTGGTGGTATAGAAAAATCTTCAGGTCCCTGGACTAAAACAGTTCTGATACAAGCACCCCCTGCTCCAGTAATCATTACAGAAACCCCAGAACTGGCAATGACTAACGGTGTGGATAGGTCTCCTGGAGACAGATTAACCACAAGGAAAACATCACCAGGGCCACCAGAAGACATAGAGCGATACACCGTTCCCATCCCCGCAGTCCATTGCCAAGAAGGTAGAAAGCCAAAAGGATAAAGAAATGGAGAAGAGCTTTGGAGTTGTTAGTGAGACACAAAACTAGAGGCAGAGATGAGGTGTCAAAAAACCAGGCCCTTAAACTTCAGCTAGACAACCAGCACACTGTGCTTAAAAATAGAAAACCAGACGAAACCAGTTTGGCTTAGTGGATAGAGCATCGGCTTATGGACTAAAAAGTCCTGGGTTCGATTCTGGTCAAAGGGCATGTGCCTTGGTTGCGGGCACATCCCCATTGGGGGGTGGGTAGGAGGCGGCTGATCGATGTTTCTCTCTCATCGATGTTTCTAGCTCTCTGTCCCTCTTCCTTCCTCTCTGTAAAAAATCAATAAAATATATTTTTAAAAAATAGAAAACCAACTACACAGAACAATGAAGGAATAGTTTTTGCTAGCCCTTCTAAGGTAACTGGACCACACTAATCACCATGAACAGCCATTATCATCTGATTTCTACAGAATGACAGCAATCAATGCAGACCCCTCTATATAAGTGACTGGCCCTATTGCACTATGGAAGTTTCAAGTGTCACAACTGCTCTGTATGTATATTGAATTTAGGGAGATTGAAAAAAAAAAAACCCCACAAAAAAATGGCAACCAGTGGTCATTTCAAAATCTTTTTTATGTTCAGGTACTGAGCCTTTGTAAGGTTGAGCACCTCAAATTTGCTGTACTCATGCGGACTCATGTGGATCACAACTTCTGGATTAGAAAGTTATAGCTGTTAGGTGGCGATGCAAAACTTGCATCCAGCTCTGCTGGATATCTATCAGAAATCCTGCAGAGAATTAGCTGTCTGAGTTTTGATTTGCTGTAAATTCAAAGCAACATGAGCAAAACCTCAGCTTAAAACCCACGTAGGTTCATGGATCTTGCATAGAACTCAGTTAGCTGGATGAAAAGTGCTTAACACTCTCAGAACTCACAATGATAGACAAGTCCAGATATACTTATGCTGAAAATGTTATTAGACATTCTGTACATGTAGCAATTGTCCCAGGGTAGCTCTGTTATCAACCCTCTGCTGTGTCTTTAAAGTTAGGGGTGAATGACAGGTGATGTAGCATTTATGTTTTTATGATTACAGCTTAAACTATCCAGTCATTTTTAAATCCTGTAACTTCAGGAAGATACCCAGGATTACTGAAAAGTTTCTGTCCATCTAATGAGATAGTCTGGCAATTTTCTAGTTTAGTATCTTTGGTTCAATAGAAATGTCAAAGTGGTGTGCAGCCACTTGATGCAGAGTCTGGGTTTCTCTGTAGTAAATCCATATATACTGATATGGGAACATATTTCTATGGAAGTTGAGTCTTGATAAATGTTAACGCAGGAATCAGAGTCCTGGTGGGTTATAGGATCTCCTGACAGACCTGCCAACCATTTCTTTTTCTTTCAACTGTTGTGAAAGCCAGTATGCATATGGCTAGAGGCTGCTATAGGTGCCAGTGGCCAGAATGGAAATAACAAACTGCTAGTACATCTGGGCTCCCACCCTGACTCCACTCGGACAGAAGAGATCTGAGTCCTCTGAAAGGAAAAAGGTATAGTGAGATCCTGTCAAGACCACACTAACCACTCTTTCCATCCTGCCCACCCCAGACTGCACCCAACAGCCCTTATACTAAGGCAAGGGCACAGGGCATTCCCTCCCGCCTCCAGATTCCATGCCTCTTTCCCCATCTGATGGGCTGGAGGCCTGTGTCCGTCCACTCCTAACCTGCCAGTTTCCTGTTGGGTTTGCCTGGACAGGGAATTTGAGCAGGAAGGCACTTCTGTGTGCCTTGGACCTTGAGTGCAACACCCTGCATCCTAGTGAGCACCAAGGAAGGCAGTACCTGCACTATCTGGTGAACACAGACCATTGGCCAAGCTAGGCCATTTGAGAGACCAACTCCCTCTGGGCAAATATGGCCAAGTGAAACCAAGGAGCTAGGCCAGAGCTTCCTAGACAAAGGGACTGTCACAGTGGAGAGCCCCATTGCTGGCAAAAACTGGTCCCTGTCCAATACTGACTCCTCCATTGGCACATCCTCAGAGCATTGCAGGAGCTGCTGGTACTCAATGTGGGATCCAGGTCCAGCTCTGCCCTAGCCCCAGATATTCCAAGGCTACGGGGTGTTCAGACCCCCAGAAGGGAACACAGCAAGAACAGAAGTTCCTGCCAGCTGTCCCCCAGGCGGGGTCACTGTCAGAGAAGTATGGGAGGTGAAGGGTCCAGCCAAACCAGCCAGTAGAGGGCAGAGCCCTGGCTTCCTAAAAGCAGTGACCCCAGGCTTGGAGGTTCTGCCCCTCCTGACCCACTCCCTCCCTGTTCCACCTGCTGCAGGGCCCACAGGCCACTTGTGTGGACACAGGGAAGGATTCCAGGACTGAAGAAGGGAGAAAAGATCAGGGACATTTCTCCCCAGCTTCTTGCCTGTGGGAGTTACTGTGGCCTCCACCTTTAGTCCTGCCTCTCTCAAGGTCACCCTCTCTATACTATCCTTCCCAGATGCCAGGGATCATCCCCCTCTCTTCCAGGAATATGACTACCATTGAGGTTTATACACTCTGCCCCCACCTTCATAACTTAAAGCCCTTATGAAATCCTCAGACTGCCCCAACCAGAGTGCTCTTGTTTCCTGCTGGGACCCAGACTATTACAAACACCCTGGACTTCCAGGATTGGGGGTATGGCCAGACCAACGTGTCCCCATTCCCCTCCGCCCCCAACTCCAGGTCCAGCCAAGTGCAAAGCTACTCTCTGCAGGCCTTCAGTAGGCTCCAGTCCACTGGCCAGCCTTTTGGGATTCGGAGTCCCAGTGGCTCAACCTAGAGCCTGTTCCCCCAGGGCACCCTTCTTTTATTTTATATTTTATTTTTTAATATATTATAATTACGATTTCAGAGAAGAAGGGAAAGGGAGACATAGAAGCATCAATGATGAGAGAGAATCACTGACCGGCTGCCTCCTGCATGCTCTCTACTGGGGATCAAGCCCACTACCCTGGTATGTGCCCATGACCAGAATTGAACCCGGGACCCCTTCAGTCTACAGGCCAATGCTCTATCCACTGAGTCAAACCGGCTAGGGCAGGGCACCCTTCCTTTATGACTTTACCCACTGGTCACCTGGGAGACAATACTGAACATTCCACCCACAGCCTGGGCCTTCAGGAAGCAAGGACAGCAGGCCCAGCCAGCCCAGGGGACTCTCCGTCCTATGTAAATGAGGACACCGCTGGCCCATGTCTAACAGGTGTGTAGAGGACAGCCTTCAAGGTGCTGTGTGTTCTTAGCACCATGGATGATGCTACTGTTCTCAAGCGACGAGGCTACATCGTGGGGATAAATTTGGGAGAGGGCTCTTTTGTAAAATCCGCATACTCTGAGCATCTGAAGTTCAACATGGCAGTTAAGATCACTGACAGCAAGAAAGCCCCCGCAGATTTCTTAGAGAAATTTCTGCCCCGGGAAATTGAGATTCTGATCATGTTAAATCACCGCTCCATTGTCAAGACCTACAAGATCTTTGAGACATCAGATGGCAAGGTTTATATTATCATGGACCTTGGGGTCCAGGGAGATCTCCTCGACTTCATCAAAAACCAGGGAGCCTTTCATGAAGATGATGCTTGCAAGAAGTTTCACCAACTGTCCTCTGCCATCAAGTACTGCCACGACCTGGACATTGTCCACCGAGACCTCAAGTGCGAGAACCTCCTCCTCAACAAGGACTTCAACATCAAACTGTCGGACTTCGGCTTCTCTAAGCGCTGTCTGCGGGATCACAGTGGCCGACTAACCCTGAGTAAGACCTTCTGCGGGTCAGCAGTGTACACAACTCCCGAGGTCCTGCAGGGCATCTCCTACCAGCCCAAGGTCTGTGACATCTGGAGCTTGGGCGTGATCCTCTACATCATGGTGTGTGGCTCCATGCCCTACGATGACTCCAACATCAAGAAGATGCTGCGCATCCAGAAGGAGCACCGTGTCAACTTTCCTTGCTCAAAACACCTGACAAAGGAGTGCAAGGACCTCATCTACCGCATCCTGCAACCAGATATCACCCTATGGCTGCACATTGACGAGATCCTCAGCCACTGCTGGATGCAGCCCAAGCCCCGGGCCACACTGTCCCCCGCAACTATCAGCAAGGAGCGGACGGGCGTCCAGGGCACCAAGCCCTTGCAGTCTGCTGACCCCGGCTCTGAAAAGAAGTCTATCACCCACGTGGAACCCCGGGAGGAGGCACTGCCTCAAGCGATGACAGACATAAGACCCTAGGAGGAGGAGGAGGGACAGTTTGAAATCAGGAGAATCACCCGCACAACTGGGCACATGAGCAGAGAGGCAATGGAAGGGTGCTCCTCCAAGTCCCCAGAGAGAAAGACCCAGTGAGCCTCTCACAGGATCTGGAGGCTGGCAGGAAATGAGGAAGACTTCACGGCTGGGTATAAAACCAAATTTAAGATTTGACTTAAGTTGAACCATATGTGGCAAGTGGTTACCATGGGACAGTGTAGATCCACAGTTCCCAGCACACCGAGACCTGGAAGGGAGCAAGGGTCAGTCTGCAACTTCTACTACTTTGCTCTGGATGCTGCAGGGCAAGGCCTCAAACTGTTCTTGCAAGTACTGTAGGAATGCACAGGATCACCCCAGCCCCAAGCATGCTGGAGGCTGCAAGTCAACTTTTTCTGAGCAATAATGTTGGTGCTATTTGAGGTGGCAGGCATCTTGAATGTGTTTTGATGTGTTCGGGGGCATTGCTAAACAAGCCAAAGAGACACTGGATGATTAAGCGGGAAACAAGGGATTGTTGGTTAAACTGAAGACTTCATTTAGAATCCAAAAATATTAACAAATCTCTTGTACCTTGAGCCACATATCTTCCCTGAAAAGCATGCGTTTTTTCCCCAGCACAATTTTGCTGTGGTTTTGAGGAGTGAACTGAGGTGGGTATGTGGAGCTTATATAGTACGATATGTAATGGGTGGATAGGCTGTCCATTGTACTGTTTCTTCCTTTCCATGCTCAGACATGGTTTGGCCATACAAGATCTCTGTAACATACATGAACAAAGCCAATAAAAGGTGCACATATGGAAACAAAATTACTGCCATGTTTTTTTATGATACATTTCTCGAGGTGAAATTGCTGGGTCCACGGTACACAAATACTTTAGTGAGATAATCAACATTTTAGGAAGTGTTAAATCTATTTTCAGAAATCTACCTGGGGCCCAAAGAGAACATTAAACCTATAAAAAATAGATTTCTAAATATTTAAAAAATTTGTTGACTCTAAGTCTGATGGAAAAGGGACAAAATAGTGGGACTTAGACAGAAAGTGGATACTGTCATAGAATAACTTACCCCTAAGACAGGCTGACAGCTCCAGAATGTGCTGAGGGTGACTGTCCTTGTGGTACCGCAGGGCCCTCTGCCCATCGTGAGCTGAGAGAAGTTTATTTCTTCTCTCCCATCTCCCCTTTGCTCCTCCCAGCCAGGAATTGTCAATGGGAGTGGAGCTGGCCCCTCTGACTCACAATGCATTTCTGCAGAAGGGGGTTTGTTGTCACAGTAAGGCGGGGTGGGGCGGGGGAGGTGTACACTTGAACTTGGAAGCCCGATATCCTGCCAAAACCGGTGTGGCTCAGTGGATAGAGCGTCAGTCTGCGGACTGAAAGGTCCCAGGTTTGATTCCGGTTAAGGGCATGTACATTGGTTGTGGGCACAGCCCCAGTGGGGGTGTGCAAGAGGCAGCTGGTCGATGTTTCTCTCTCATCGTGTTTCTAGCTCTCTATCCTTCTCCTTTCCTCTATGTAAAATATCAATAAAATATAAAAAAAGAAGCCTGATATCCTGTACAATGAAGACCTTTGATGTTTCTTGCATAACTTTCAAATGTTGCTCCAAAACTTCATGTGGGTGAAAACCCTGCATCTGTATGTGATATCTGAACCCCCCTAACTCCATTTTATAGAGAAATAAAAGTTTTTTTTAATGGATTTTCCAGAAACACAAAGGTATTTACTAAATAAACTGATGGAGTACTATATTAATAATTTGTTTTGTTCTAGGCTTTCCAAGATTTGTTGATAATTGCACAAAAATGCTATCTCTAGTGGCAATGCTGCTAGTGTTATCTGTATCCAAGTCATTGATTTAAGACTGCTGGTCAGACTACACCAACAGCTGTTGCAGAATAAACAATTCAGGTGCAAACATCTGGTAATTCATTGTGGCTCTAATGTAGTCTTATCCCAGAATGCATTAAATTTATAACATTACTTTGCTTTCATGTCTTCTTTATAATACAGTATTTTAAAAATTTTCAGAGAGGAAGGTAGAGGGAGAGAGAAACATCAATGATCAGAGAGAACCATTGATTGGCTGCCTCCTGTATGCCCCCTACTGGGCATGGAGCCCACAAATCTGGCATGTGCCCTGACTGGGAATCGAACCCGATTTCCTGATTCACAGGTCGATGCTCAGACAGGGAGCCTATTGGCAGGGCATACAGTATTTTAAAAAATCTTTATTGTTGCTGAAGCCAGTTTGGCTCAGTGGTAGAACGTCGGTCTGCAGACTGAAAGGTCCCAGGTTTGATTCCGGTCAAGGGCATGTACATTGGTTGTGGGCACATCCCTGGTAAGGGTTGTGCAAGAGGCAGCTGGTCGATGTTTCTCTCTCATCGACGTTTCTAGCTCTCTATCTCTCTCCCTTCCTCTCTGTAAAAAATCAATAAAAATATATTTTAAAAAATCTTTATTGTTGAGAGTATTACAGATGTCTCCTCTGGTGGTGCCACCTCCTGGTTCTCACACACTGGTTAGTTTTTCTCACGTGCGTGACCCTATCAGATGAGACCATGAGACATAAGCCCACGAGACTTTGCTCAGTTTCCAAAGTGCCCAGATTTCAAGGAATTTTATGGTTTTTCTAAGGCCATGGAGCAGGGCTGTGTCATGGAAAGTGTCCTTGTGAATCTGGGGGGCAGGATGCAGGCAGCTCTCATTACTCCCCACCGGGAGCAGAGTTGCTCACCTGACAACACTTCCTCCCAATGAGCTGGTGGGCCTTTATTGAAACGCTACAGCAATTGGGGAAAGGAAAATCCAGCCTTAGGACCCCTGCTGCAAAAGAAGAGTCTTCCAGCACTCTAAGTCCATGTTCTTTCAGAGAAAAGAACTTGAGCCTCAATGGCCAGAGCACTTATGTATTTGACATTTTTCTTGGACTCGTTCCTGGCAATCATTTTGAAAATAAAAATCCTCATGTGCTTTTTCAAAACTGACTAAAGGAAGTGCAGGGAAAGGAGAGAGCAAGAGAGAGAAAGCAAGAGAAAGAGAGATGGGGGGGGGGGGGAAAGGGGGACCTCATTGGGAGGACTGGCTGGTAGAGAGACATTGATGATTTTTCTGGAGAGAAGACTATTGAAAGAGGGAGAAGTGAGAGGAATTGGAGAAAACACAAAAGGGGAAACAAGATGTTTCTTCCCCCAAGAGGATGGTATTTGCCTCATTGGCAGCACTTCTCAGATTGAAGGGACCTTCACCTGAGGTCCCATCAGCACAATGAGATTCTGTCCAGTGCCTCTGCTTTCCAGCTGGCCCTGGTGGTGCCGCCTCCTGGTTCTCACACCGGTCTTGGGTTCTCGCTCACCCCAGGGTTGGTCTGGGTGACCCTAGCAGATGGCAGAAGCAATGAGCTGTCACTGCTGAGACTGGCTTGCAAAGACACGGTGGCTTTCTGTGTCTCTGATCACCAGCTCTGGTAGAAGGCCACTGCTGTCTGAGCAGACTTTCAGAGGGACCCACAGGGCTGCCCACGGCCAATGGCAGGGGCTGGAAATGGCTCCTCCACTCTCTCAGGCAGACCAAACACCCAGCTCAGCTGCTTCTGGATTCCTGAGCCACAGAAACGGAGAGATAATAAAGGTTTGTTGTGTGAAACCACTCAGTTCCATACTGAACTAAGACGTCTGTGACGCAGTGAGAAAGGTCTGGAAATATGGTCCCCCGCTGTAAATGGCTTAGACAAGTTTCTAAACTTTGGCAATGGGTAGATTTAATAAAAAGGTATGCTAAGGCCGGGACCGGTTTGGCTCAATGGATAGAGCGTCGGCTTGGGGACTGAAGGGTCCCGGGTTCGATTCCGGTCAAGGGCATGTGCCTTGGTTGCGGGCATATCCCCAGTGGGGGGTGTGCAAGAGGCAGCTGATTGATGACACTCTCTCATCGATGTTTCTAACTCTCTGTCTCTCTCCCTTCCTCTCTGTACAAAATCAATAAAATATATTTTTTAAAAAAAGGCATGCTAAGTTTTCTGGAAAGACTTGACAAAGATTTCCAACTCTACAGCTGTTCAAAACGGAAAAAATTGCAGAATTATGCATGGAAAAACCCCCAGTTATGCTTGATACTACAATCTAAGCAATACCTCATAATTAGCTAGCTATTAATTATAGTCAAACCTCAGTTCTCAAATGTCTCCCATCTCAAACAATTCAGTTCTCCACCCAGTTATTCCCAAAAAACTGTCTCGGTAGTCAAACAAAATTTCGGTTGCCAACCTGACAACCTTTTCATGGTGATACCCGTATGATCAGCCACCTATCTCTAAGGGGACAAACAGAGAGAATGCACCATTATGAGTCAGTTTACCGGTAAACCTCATGTTGTTAACATCTCAGAAAATTTCTCTGTGCATATTTTCTAGCGGGAAGAAATGATTCCGTTTTCTTTCTTTTTCTTTTTTTTAAATATATTTTTTACTGATTTTTTACAGAGAGGAAGGGAGAGAGATAGAGAGCTAGAAACGTCAATGAGAGAGAAACACCGACCAGCTGCCTCTTGCACACACACCCCCCACCACCACCACCACCGGGGATGTGCCCGCAACCAATGTACCTGCCCCTGACCGGAATCGAACCTGGGACCTTTCAGTCCGCAGACCAGCGCTCTACCACTGAGCCAAACCGGTTTCGGCGATGATTCCGTTTTCAAACAAATCACTTCTCAAACAGCTTTCCGGTCCAAATGAAGGTTGAGAACTGAGAATCCACTGAAATAGCAAAGGCAACAGGGAGGCCAGACCTGCTATCACCTGGCCGTTTCGGTCCGCTCCATGCGAATCACTGGGGGAAGGTCCAACACAGGTGAGAGGGACACACGTGCAGTCAAGTTGCGGTGACACAGAGAACATGCCTGTCAGTAAAACCTGGATTCAGACATCATTGGCTAGAGCAAGTGAAGGCAATGCAAGCCCATGAAATGTGGG